AACCTTTGGATTCCAAATCGAGTTCGTTACCTCTAGACCACCGTAGCATTTAAGAACAGGAACGCTGTGGTTGATATATTGATGCTAAAAATATTTCAACTATTAGTGTGAAATTTCATAATCTTAAGATGAGAAATTCAAACACAGCTCCGTTCAGGTCTCTTGAACGAAAAAACATGCGCATTAGCACAAGATATCTTATATTTCGCTAACGGTTTGAAATAAATAGCTGTGTCACTGACGCCAGCTAACGTAAAAGCATCAGCCACGTATACCAAATCCAGGCGACAGACATGCGCATATTTGTACATCTACCGGATGTTTTTTTTAAATAACACAACTCTTGTAACTTATATACGAGTTGTCTGATTGATATTAAATTTTATATTCAAAGAGAAAACGGGAGAATGGAATTGTTGTTAGATTGTTACTGAATGGTAAATTCAACCCTTCATATATACCTTAGTTATAGGAGTGTGTGTAAAGACCATTACATATATATTTTTATAAAAATACACTATAAATATGGAGAAGAAATGCCATCGGATGGAATATCAGTTATAAAGTAAAAAGTGGCTATTATATTTGTTGCGTTTCAAANAAAGAAATTTAACTCCAATTTCCATTGTTCCAGTTTGTTGGAGAAATATTTTTTTCTCAGAAATTATTACAAGCCACGTGACCAGTAATTTGGTTGGGAATTGTAATTTTACTTCATTCACGTTGGCAATTAAATTTCGGTAAAATTAAAAATTATTAAAACAAGATCAAAATCACATTAATACACATTCTGTTTCACTGGCAGGTGATTGGTGTAATTTTGTACGAGATTCTATTCAACCAATCGGCGATCACATTATCTCGAGCGTAGATGGTTTGTCGTTGTTCATTGTAAACAAATCATTAATATTAGTAAGCTAAGATTTAGGGATTTTTAGTTGACAATACCAGCCGTGCAGTGTTGGTAGCCTAAGCTCGGCGGTCACGTGACTTGTAGTTATTACAAGGTGTCCCGAAATTAGGGGGCAATATTTCTACAGGGTGTTCTATGCCAAAAAAGATTACTTTTAATTTATGTAAACGTGGGTCCAAAAATTAAAGGGGCTACTCTGATGATGGTTTTTTCTAAATAACTCCGAAATAAGTTGAGATAAATTTATAAAATTTGGTAACTAGCTTAACTCTTATACATGCTTAGTCCGCTACTAATTGTAAAATGAAATTTACAAATTTTCATCACATACGTTCCAGGGGGATAAAATTTACCATAACTTTTTTATGCTTTAAAATTTCGTTTTAGTAGCGGACTAAGCACATATGAGTTAAGCTAGTTACCAAATTTCATAAATCTATCTCAAGTGGTGTCGGAGTTATTTAGAAAAAAACATCAACAGAGTGGCCCCTTTAAGTGGCTATAACTTCCTAAAGGAGAATTTCTGTACCCACGTTTATATAAAGAAAAAATAATCTTTTTCGACATAGAACACCCTGTAGAAATATTACCCCCTAATTTCGAGACACCCTGTATATATAATAATAATAATAATAAAGGACTTTATTTCTTCATAATTCACTTTAAATGATATACATTAAAACAAAAAAAGAACTATTGTTAACTATTATATCAGCGAATTAAAGAAGAAAATGCCGAAGATCAGCTGGTTGTATGCAACACAACTTCTGATATTAATCTTAAGCACACACAAAAGCAATAACATTAAATGATGCGGTACAGCGAATAAATTGAACATTACAAAAAACAAATAAAAAAGTACAAAAATTTTAACTAGGAACACATTTGATAATATATTGTAAGGAGCATGTTTTAACTGGGGCTATCAAGCAACTTCTTCTTAAAAACTTTCTTGAAGCGATAAACCGTTTCCAATTTTAAGACCTTTGACAAATTGTTATATATTTTAGACACTTGGTACGAGAAAGATCGTTTAAACAATTCTGTACGGTGAGAAGGAGGCGTCAGTCTTCCTCTAAATCTAACGTTAATGTTATGAACATCGCCTCTAAACTTGATTTCTGCATATAAATACTGAGGAGCTTTTAAATTTATTATTTTATGAAATTTACAAGCAGCATGTAGCTGTCTGCGATCGGACATATTTAGCCATCCAACCTCTTTTAGCTTGTGAGAGATACTCTGTCGTTTTCTGATAGCAAATATTAATCTAAGGCATTCATTTTGAACCGTTTGAATTCTATTAACATCTCTATAATCAATACAAGGGCCATAAATGATATCACAAAAATTAAATCTTGACAAAACAAGTGACTCGCAAAGTAGAATTTTAACTCTTTTATTAATATAATGTCTGCGATTATAGATCATCTTTAGATTCGCATAAGCGCTACGTATATTATTATTAATATGTATTTTAAATTTTAACGACGAATCCATGATTAGTCCTAGGTTTCTTGCGTTACTAACAGGTGAAATCTCTTGATTATCAAATTTAATACGTATGCGCTGTTCTAAAATATTCTGTATCTTTTTTTGAGCAAATACTAAAACTGATGTTTTTTGGGGTTTATGCTTAAACTATGATTCTGTGCCCACTTCATTATGTTAGATATGCCATTATTTATTTCATTTAGAGCCAGATTATAGTCATGTGGTTGAAAAGTGTGATATATTTGAGTGTCATCAGCGTAAAGATGGAATTTACATTTATCAATTGCTTGATCGATAGTGGAAGTATACAGCATAAAAAGCAAAGGGCCTATAATTGAACCTTGCGCAACACCCGATGTTATTTCCAGGAGGGTAGATATATTATCTCCTATTTTGACACACTGCTATCTATTCTTAAAATAGTTGCGAAAAAATTGAATAGTACAATGAGCAAAACCAAGATATTTAAGAAGAGCAAATAGGACTTCATAATTCAACGTATCAAACGCCTTAGAGAAGTCAATCAGTGTCAACACAGTTACTTTTTTTTCATCTAAACCTCTCAAAATATCGTACATTAAAGCGGCCTCGCAACTATGCTGAGGTCTAAAACCTGACTGAAATTGTGGTATTATATTGTATTTATTTGCATACTCCCGAATTTGTAAGTCGACTACCCGTTCTAAATCCTTTGACATTGTTGGCAATATGCTTATAGGACGCAGGTCTTTGAAATCTTGAGGATTATTCATTTTAGGAATAGGCCTTACGACAGCCACTTTCCAGGAATCCGGGAAAAATCTATTTAAAAGACAGGTATTGATAATATGAGTTAAATATGGAATTATAAAAGGACAGCAATATAACAACATTTTAATATTTAGATTGTCTTGGCCTTGAGCACTGGTTTTAATATTGTATAAAATTTTCTGTATTTTATCTTCCGTGACAGTAGAAAATTTAAAGTGTTCCATGTTTTCCCTAATCGTATGGTTCAAGTAATAATTAATTGTATTTTGATCACCAGGTAATTTAGGGACAGCTGCGCAGTAGTAATTGTTAATGCTATTTACATCCTGTAAATTCTTAGGCATACAAGTTTCATGTTTACGCGAATTGAGTTTTAACTTTTTCCAAATAGTGTTGACACCATCAGACTTCAGTTTATGTTCTAAATAGGCCTTTTTTTCCTGCCTGCATGCAAGAGTGGTATAATTTCTCAGCATTTTATAATAATTATAATGGTTTACATTCTTACTAACCCTCCATCGACTCCTAGCTTTATTTCTAAGCGATATCAATAAGCGAATATTATCAGTAATCCATGGACTATAATTTTTTGTAATTCTTATAGTTCGTAAAGGCGCATGCTTATTAAAAAGTTCAAGTAAATTACAATTCATGAAAGCCAATTTATCATTAACATCATCAATATCAAAAATAATTTCCAAAGGCATAGCTCTCAAGTCCAAAACAAACTGATCGTAATTAAAATGTTTAATGCATCGCATGGTTTTAATTTCAGGCTCATTTTTACGAGGAATTGTTAAGGTACAATACGTTAATTCATGATCAGACATATTATCAACAGAAAGAACTGTAACTGATTCTATTAATTCTGCACTAGTAACTATTATTAAATCAAGTAGAGTAGCTGTCGTGGGTGTGATTCTAGTCGGTGAGTCAACAAGCTGATACAAATTTAATGTCTCAAAAAATGAGTTCAATTTATGAGATGCAACTGTATCAGTTAACATATCAACATTAAAATCACCTAGGCAGAATAACTCATCACAACCAAGTAGCAAATCTGAAAAGTTTGTTTCAAAGGAGTTGGTAAATTCATTAATTGAGAACTTGGGGGGTTTATAAATCACACCTATCGCATACTGCTTTTGTTTAATTGTAATTTTAATCCATAATTACTCTAGAAACTTATCAGTTTTTATAACTGTAAACGGTATAGAATTCTTGATATAAATACTCACGCCTCCTCCTTTCCCAGTTGTACGATCTTGCCTAATTAGATTATAGCCTTCTATTAGAATGAAAAAGTCGTTTATAGCACCTGTAAGCCAAGTTTCTGTGAGGCACAATATATCATATTTATTCTTTAAAACATGCTGCCTTAAACAATCGATCTTAGGAACAAGTGAATGTATGTTCAAATGTGCTAAAACTAAATTATTATTAACAGTATTCATTAAGCAAAAACAGTTATTTTAATAATTTTCAACTAAGTATATATAATGAAAAAGATACAAAATGTAAATTCCTTACCATCCTACGTTAAGTAACAAAAACAACAGAAACGTTTCATGTACAACAAAGTAAATTATTTTTCGCGAATATTATCTTCATAGTCCAAATCTTTTACACTTATAATTTTCCGTTTTCCCTCTCCATTATTGCAATACAAATTTCCACCCAATGACCACGCCTTATTCTTGCCATATCTTTTTTAAGTAGTGACGCATTAAATGATGTAAGATCATCAGAGAAGAACAATCCAGAGTCTTTTAGAGTATTTTTATTTTTCATTACACTATGTTTATCTTCATAATTTTTAAATTTGACAATCACTGGCCGCTTATTGTTATTCCCGCGAAGACGATATATGCAGTCAAAATTTGAATTATCTAAATTCAATTTAAACTTTTTGTTTATTAATTTATTTACAACATCATTTAGATTTTTATCTGGCTCGTCCTTTAACCCTGTTATTCGTAAACTTATTCTTTAAACTTATTCTTTTAAATATCAAATTGTGTTGAAAAAGCAAAAGTTCAGCCTAGGTCTGACAGAGAACGTATTAAGGAACAAACCAACAGATATAAAAACCTTTTAAAATCTCAGAGTTGTCATGTGGTTGCTTCGCTGTCACTTCTTTAAGAACATCCTGTAGACTGTTGCTGCTGCTGCTGCTGCTGCTCCTGACGTGGACTGAAGAATGTAGGTACCTAGAGGAGAGGCACGGAATGAGAAAGAAAATCTCAGTATGTGTACACCGTTTATTAAGACTGCTTCTTAAAGTTGTTAAAAATTCAGATTCAATAGGTACTAGTTTAAAATTAGAACGAGAGAGAAAGAGAGAGATAACAAATGTTATCCGGGGTTCATTCGCCAGAAATTGAGAGGGTATATGAAACAAATATCAAAGTTACTGTTCTGTTAATAAAAACAACAAATAAAGTAAGTTTGTAAGACCTCATACAAACTTACAAGGCACACTTCCAAGGAACCACAGCTTAAACGAGTATGGCATATTACTCACAAATTCACAAATCATTGAACAAATATACTTGTAGAGTGGTCGCTTCACCGTTGCTTCTTCAAGAACGTCCTGTAGACTGTTGCTGCTGTTTCTGAAGTGGCTTGAAGAATGTAGGTACCTAGAGGAGAGGCACGAAATGAGAAAAAATCTCAGTATGTGTACTAATTATAAGTATTATGGGTGTAGAGATTTTAATTCAGGCAACAACAACGGCTTTCTATGACTTGGAATCGATAGTATTTGTTACATGTTAGAAGTTCATTAAAATTATTGAAAAGTGTAAAAAACACAAATAGAGCCATTGGATATGAACAACCTCGAGTGTGTAGACAATTTCAAAAATAAATATATAAATCAAAATTTAATAAAATCAGAAAAACATGCAGTCTTCACTATGACTTCAGCAAAAATAGCCTTGAAACAAACTACCTGAAATAATAAAGAAACACTTTATACTTCAACTACCGGTAATGGAAGATTTCTGCTGGGCATTGAGGATTTGGATGGGTTCGATGGTCGAATTCAGTACATCTGAGAAAAAATCGAACAAATGCCTTTAAAAAATGTTGAAAATAAAACAGGGGGGCTTCGGTACCAATGAAAAAAAAACGAAGAAAAACATCAGAGGTCTGGAGGTTTCGGTGGGAGAGTGCAGTACTAAGAATGCATATGTTTTCTAGAGTTTGTAAATCTAAAGCGCCGCAAAACGTATAGCACCAATAAGAAATATATGGGACGGGCGAAACTTTTGGAAGCAGTTCAGACACCCTGTATATATATTTTTGTGTCAGGATTAATAAGCTGTGATTACATTGTTTAGTTGTGACATATTCACAATTTTGTTATGTGAAACACAATATTTCAATTTACATATTACGTTTTTCTTTCGAATATAATCAAAAGGTTCGATTAGAAAATTATAATACTAACTATAAATGATTCCGAATAGAAAACTACAGTTAACCCGATCAGAGAGTCAGGTATTGGAAATCGAAAAATGTAATGGCTTTCATTAAATATGTACGGAAATATATATCTGGAACATACTTGAGAAAAGAGGATATGATTCATATTATGGAATATTTCACTCGTTGAAATACATCCCGGAGCGTCTGTATCTAAAACACAAATAGAGCCATTGGATATGAAGACAGAACGATAGAGAGAGAGAATAACGTTGTTAAGAGACCTTGATATTGGAGGAATTAGATCCATGCTAGAGATCTGGGCATTGAGGATATGGGTGGGATCGATGACCGAGTTGAGTTCATCTGATATTCTGTAAGAAAAAAGCGAAGAAATGGCTTTAAAAAACGTTGAAAAAACATTAGGAGGGATTCGGTACCAATGGAAAAAAAACGTAGAAAAACATCAGAGATCTGGAGGTTTCGGTGGGAGAGTGCAGTACTAAGAATGCACATGTTTTCTAGAGTCTGTAACTCTAAAGCGCCGCAAAACGTATAGCACCAATAAGAAACATTTGGGACGGACGAAACTTTTGGAAGATAAGGTGCTGGAAAAATAGGGTGACAGAGCCATGAAGGCATAAAAATATAATCTCATAGAGGCTAATGTCTGTAAAGTAAAAAAAAAGATATTGGAGGAATTAGATAGAGGTCTGGGTATAGAGGAGACAAAGCGCGGTATTAACCGATGTCTGGAAATATAGCTGGAGATTATTTGCAAGAAGTTGATGATGATGCCTTGGTAAAGAACATAAAAATGTTAAGAATGGTATCACCTTCAAACCAGAATTTTCACCTTGTGGCGAGAAAGAGCAGAAGTAACAATACTTAAAAAATCAAATTTTTGCAACTTACACAGTAATACGACAATACGGTGAATTCCGTTGAACTGTACAGGTCACTTAACTCTTTGATGTCAGCTAAAATATTGTTACACAGTTATTCATTGATAATTATAATCTGACACCATTTCCTGCTGAGTTAGCAAAAAAATGTAATTTGACACCGAGAAGAAATGTAATAGTTTATATACGAGTTGAAAAAATTGTATGTGGGATCCGTTCTTACTGGAACACCATTACAGAACAAAACCGGTATTAGCCGATGTCTGAAGCTGCAATAGATGTGCGAAGAAAGTCTGCAGTCTGTACACTGGGTCTGTAAATTCGGCAAGTCCCCATAGGTGGTAAAGAATGCAGCGGTATAAATTTGAATGAGACACAAGGGTTTATAAAATGTAAGATTCTTACGCCTTAAGATCTCTATCACCCCCTGTGCTAGCAGCCAAAATAAATGATAAGTTAATGTTTGTTTTGTATTGTACTTGCGAGGAGCTAATGCGGGTGTTGCCATGACAACAAAGAAGAAAGAGCCTTGATAGGTACACGAGGTAATAATGAAAATGTACGCAAAAAATTGAGAGCAGAGTTGGAAAGGTATAAATTTTAATAACCAAATACGACAACGATAAAACTCTGATTATAGAAGTACACATACCTGGCCTCGTCGTATCCAGCCTCCTATTCGTTCAGCACGGGTTCTCTGGAACTACCTGAAAATTCAAAATAAAATTAGAAGGTTATTTAAAAAAAGAAGTAAAAGGTCTAACATGTGTGTGGTGTTGACGATTATCCAGATAATCGTTACGTAAAACACAATTAGAAACATATTGTGAGAACAGCAAAGATATGTTAGAATGAGAGAGAGAAAGAGCGGAGACGATCCCGACAAAGTTGTAAATGATTTACGCTATTATATCGAAGAGTGTCGTTTGACTAAAAAACATCGTCTCTGTAGTGACATTATCAACAAGCTATATAATATGGGAATAATTCAGTAACTTACCAATCATTTCCAGGCGATTGCATCATTTTATTTGTCTTTAGGTGGCCGAGCTGTTACGCCTTCAGTGTGTTGTCACCTCCCATCATTATCATCTTAGCTAAGCTTTACGTTAGGTATTGTCGTCGTCAGACATTGAGCTGATATGCCTTCAGACGCGCCTGCGCAATCGTCATCTTGTCGTTATCTTCAGACATAATCCTCAGCGTGATGGACAAAAAATTAAAAAAATTAAAAAAAAATTAAAAAAAATTAAATAGAAATCCTGACAGCTACAAAGCTAAGCCTTTGTTAGCCGTTTGGTAGAAAACAGGTTCCAGGCTATAGAAAACAGATCTGTAGCAGTAAAAAACAGATTGCAGGCTGTAGAAAACAGATCTGTAGCAGTAAAAAATAGGTTGCAGGCTGTAAAAAACAGGTTGCAGGCTGTAGAAAACAGATCTGTAGCAGTAAAAAACAGGTTCCAGGCTATAGAAAACAGATCTATAGCAGTAAAAAACAGATTGGAGGCTGTAGAAAACAGGTTACAGGCTGTAGAAAACATATCTGTAGCAGTAAAAAATAGGTTGCAGGTTGTAAAAAACAGGTTGCAGGCTGTAGAAAACAGGTCTGTNTGAAAAGGTAGGTGAATATGATTGTTTCGCCTCCTTTTCAATTCAGCGGTCTCCGGCATATCCGTAGGTACAAGATTATGACTTCTATGAATATACGGGGTGTTCTGAATTCCTGAAGCTCGCTCGAAGGGTGGAATACGACACTATCTTTACACAAAAAAAACATTAAATATTTTCAATAAAATAATTCGACAACCAAATATTCTCTGTGGGTAAAAGTAATTACTTTAAATTTATTATGGTTTAAAGACTTACCTTTTTTTATCCAAATTCATACACAAAACCACCACTCACTATAAAATATATGGGGTAATGAAACTTTAATATGNGGTCTGTAGCAGTAAAAAACAGGTTACAGGCTGTAGCAGTAAAAAACAGGTTGCAGGCTGTAGAAAACAGGTCTGTAGCAGTAAAAAACAGGTTGCAGGCTGTAATAATAAAAACACATAAACACGTTAAATATATATAAATTATGAGCACTCTACATTCATAGATATAATAATAGGGCAACTATACGCATGTAGCTCTTCAACATACATCAGCAGAATGTTCTCGAACCATTGTTCCATAATACTGTAGTGCCCCCATGGCAGCGTCTCATACGATCCCTTTATTAAATATCGCTTATCGTCGTGTGGACTCAAGGCTATTTTTTCTTGAGTCATCGTGAAGACTAGACTTTTTTATTAACTTGAGGGATGTTATACCTATTGTCTGCAGGGTAATCACTTGTATCGAACCTGGTGTGACAATCGCGACGCATGACTTCATAGACATCTTTATCGGCGATTTCATATATCAGCAGTCGGTGTCGGTATAAAGGACTGAGCAGTCATCACCTAACTCGGGCACCATATAATCATAATGGAAATCATATATGGTAGTTTTGGCTAGGTCCAAAATCGACATCCCAATGTATATAGGTTTGTTGAAGATGACTTCTGACTTGTTGAGTTCTATAGCCACCAAATTTTCATTGAAAATTGTGGCAGCCTTGAACTCTGGCTTCGCGATTAAGGCCTCCGCACCATAACGCCCATCCCATTTATTAACCAATTTAACGAGTGTTTTCTTACATTTTCCATCGTTTTTCCGAACACGGCATTATTCATAAGCTTAAATAGATTTTTTTCAAAGTCGTTTTTAGCCGTCTGACGTAATGCCGTATTCAGATCAATGTAAGACTTAAGCCATGGAGACTGATTACATTTTAGTACGCGGTGAATTTTTGTAAGCTTAAGCCCATGCTTTAATGCTTGTTTTAAAGCTCTATAATGGATAACATACCGCGTCTTGTTATGAAGAGTTGCCAAAAGTTTAAAATTTTTGCATCCGGAAGGAGCGCTATTTTCGGGGCATAGTGGCAAATCTTTATGTGTGTCATGTAAATGAGCCGGATATTCAAGGTCTACTTCAAGCAAATAGCCTACAGACGATGTGTGATACGTTGGTGACGTCGATGTTGGAATCTACCCACTCGAACCCTCCATATGGCAAATACTGACTCATGGCCCAACCGTATTGATTGTTGATGTCGAAATATGCTAAATATTTTATCGGTTTACTGGGGTCGAAATTTGGAAGATACTTATTATTAGCCGCGCTTTTACGTTTAGAGCATTGATTCAATCCGCCGCGAATACCTCGTTCGATAAACATTAACATATCGATATCGATCAACAATTCCAAAGTCTGGCTTGTCTTAAACAGCATACAGTCCCAGGTGTAGCCAGGTAAAGTGTAGTAATTAGCTGGATCGAGGCCGTATGTCTTGTGACAACTGCTTCGAAACTGCTCAAACACGTCAGCCAAAAGTAAAATGTCTGTTATCATGTACAAGTCCGTGTACTCACCCAAATTTTGAATGTATTCCAAACTTTTTGCGCGTGCGCGAACTGTTTACTTGAAATGTTCTTCTCCTTTAAACGGCTATAAAAGTGCGGCTGTTCCGGGCAGACTGGAAATTAAATTTTTCAAAGCTATCCATGAAGTCATATGGATACACGCCTTTTTTAGTTAATAAATTAAACTCATCGTCGGCTAGTTCGGAAAACTCTGATTTTAAATTTGGAAATTCGGTCATGCATGATGCAAGATAAAACGGAATGAATCGATAAATTACACATAAAGTACACATTTTTTGTCAAAATATTAGGAGAACAAAAATATTCAGTCAAATTTCGCATAAGTGTAGCACGAAAAAGTTGGAACCATTCAAATCAAAATAAAGGCTCGTATGTGGCGCCCTCTACAAAATGCGAAAAAACAGTGGGCAAATTTATAATCCTCATCCCGAAACCCCCATATACGAAATTTCGTCAAAATATTGCAATTGTGGCAAAAGGTATTGCAAAAAAACTGCAAATAAAATTTAATTTTAACACTATTAACTATTAAGTTCTTGGAATTCATCGAGCTCCGTAGAAATCGGTGTCACTATGTGTTCTTGAAACCACACCTCCAGATCGCCATAAATTGGTGAATTCTTCGTTGTGAAATATTTTGGCTCCTCAAGAATTCTATCGGCTTTTTGTAGTCGGAATTGTCCTCTGCATTCACCTGGACGGCTTCTTCCTCTTTCAATGCGTTGGTTATGCGTCGCTTGAAGAGTACGAAGCTGTCCTTGAGAAACTCCTTGGGGTCCTTGTGTTTTAAATTAGATATCACACCGGTGCGGATGCGACTATTTAAGGCCGTTTCAGAGTCATCCCACTTTACTCTGTTTGTTGCCATCTCCTTTCTCGCCGATGTTCCAGCTCCATGTTTTAGTGTATATTTAATTTGAGCACGAAAGCTTTTGATTTGAGCCAGAGTCGATAATAGATGTTGCTTTTCCCCAATGGTCTTTACAGTTTTCATCTGATTTTTTATATTTTGCACAGCTTTCGTACACTGCCGAAGTCCATCTCTAGCGGTTTCTTAACTATATGATCGTTTTAAAACACCGAGTAGGGAATATATTTGGTAACACAAATATTTCAGAATATCTGATGCAGCCATGATGCTATCACTTCAAAGACTGATGATAAACTGAGACTGTCAGGTTCCCCGTAGGTAACTAGTATCGGTAAGTGATGCCTGAAAAGAGGTCACGTGATTAAGATGTGTTTGATTAAAAATACGAACAAAAGAAAAAATTCAATGAGACCCACTATCTTACTGAAAGACGTTTAATTTGCTTTGTGACACACCATATTTTAAAACTAAAACTCACCTTTAAAAGATGTTTCAACACTTTTTTAAAACGTATGCAATAACAGCGGAGACAACGCACTGGTAGATAAGCACGAAAGAAAAGACCAGATACCTCGAAACCTTCTCTCTTAATCTAGAACCTGTCCCTAATAATAAATACGAAATATTTTACGTGGTTGTCAAAGTTATTTTCTGAAAATAATTTCATATAAACGTATATCATGCTTGTTTTTTTTGACATACAGACTGTTGAAATTTAAATTTTTTTATTTTTGTTAACAACTGAAAAAAGTTAAAAATATTAAGATGAAATTTGAAAAACTGTTTTGGAAGAATAAATGTAAATTTTTTGGGGTGATCCCAATACTTCCAATTGCACCATTAAAAATTATTTTATTAAATATAGAAAAAAATTTTGTCATACGTCAAAACTGTACTTTAATAATAAATTTCAATTCTAAACAACTTTCTTTAATAACATATTTCTGTACAGTTAAAAACAAAGGGAGTTTATTCTTGAAAGATTTTTATATTTACCGATTTTCTGAGCACCCTGTACAAGTGCCAGTTCTCAATGCCAACCGCATTTTTAAAGACAAACAAAATTTTTATTCTGCAATAAGAACGAAATATTTTACGTGGTTGTCAGTTTTTTTCTGAAAATAATTTCATATAAACATATATCATGCTTTGTTTCCGACATACAGACTGTTGAAATTTATTTTTTTATTTTTGTTAACAAATGGAAAAAGTTAAAAAATATTAATGTGAAATTTGAAAAACCGTTTGGAAAAAATATTCAAAAAAGTAATAAAATATCAAATCTTATTTTTTGCTTTTTTTAAAATTGTTTATTAACGATTTTTTGCATTAAGTTTTTCTTTTAAATTTTTTAAATGGGAAACTCAATTCTCTACAAAATTTTTCCTATAAACTATACCGAAAGTTTGCTTCGTTTCTGTGCTATATTTAAAAAACTGCAAAAGTGCATTTTCACTCCTATCGTCAATTTCAACCCTCTAGTTTAATAGCACCCCGAGGTTTTTTCATTTTTCATGTCCCTTTAAACAAATCATGTGATAAAAATCCCTGAACATCTTATTTCCTTCCTTTTTTGAGAAAAATTAGAATTAAAATGTATAAGGGTAAACGAGTCAATTTTCATCCAAAAATTCTTTATCAATTTTTTTCTGTGAAGAAATGCCTATACCTATTGTCGAGAAGTATGATCGATGGGATCGGTAACAACGGCATGGGCCTTCGGTGGAGACCTCGGGAGTTCTAATCGAGCTCCACGTTGGGCGCCATGTCGCGATATATGACCGTTTGTGCCTAATATTTGAGAATTGTGCGGGGAATTTGCAACATGAGCTCGCCGCGAAGACGTCGAAGCAGGACTTCGAGCCCCACGTCGAGCGCCATGTCGTGGAATATGATCTGAATGTTGTGTTTGGTCGGCATGGGTCCTCAGTGGAGGCATCGGGAGTTCTAATCGAGCTCCACGTTGGAAACCATGTCGCAACCTGTGATCTGGGATGTTAGTTCCCTTGACCGGGTTCCGCGGCAGGAACGCACGGAGTTCACGGGGATCGTCGCTATCGACGCCCGGTCGCACTATATTCTCTGACGATTGGAATCTGTGGTGGATATGACCTACAGACGTGGTGTCTAGGACACGAGCTCGCGGGGGAGATCTCGACGAAGAAGGTCGAGC